GTGTCATTAAATAAAAGAATGAATGTTTTTATGTGCAAATCCAAATATGTACTTTATCACTCATCAACTACGTTGCTTCAAATCAAAGCTTTGTAATTATTTTGCAATAAAGCTTGCAATAATTTCTTAGACTTCGGGGGAAAGTTGAAAAGTTCAGTATGGTGGTCTGAGGCAGCACTACAGCAGCACAGAACACATTTGGATGTGCAGAGAGTTGGGCCAAACTAAATACTCAGGCTGTTTTCCTTCAGCCTGCCATTGGCCTGGTGCTGCTCCAGCCAGTGTTTGGAAAGATGAAAGACGCAGATAAAGAATTGGCACTTTGTTCCTGGTGAAAGTAGAAGATGTCAGAGTCAAGACCTGTTAGTGCTTAAATCACTCAATGAAAAAGTCCACAGTGTAGCAACTGAAAAGCTGAGAATTTAAAGAATAGGGTTGGATTTTTTTCATTTTTGTCTTCTGTAATATGTAAGTTGAGAGAGTTATTGGTCGTTGTAATCATTCCTCTTCTCCATACTGGCCATGAAGTCATCCGTAGCACCTATAGTGTAATAGATGGAGAAAAAACCCACTATTTGTATTATGAACTTCATTATGAGGAGCCCTGTGACAACTGTAGCACATCCGAGCAGTTGGGGTTCAGGGACTTGTTCAAGGGTGGTAATTCAGCCTTTTCTCCCCTTTCTGAACCTTTGTAGGAGTTTTTCCAATGCAAATTGAGGATCTAAGGAATGAAACAGATTGCAAAGCCCCCTAAGACAAAAAATAGTTGAAATTTTGTACTATTTTTAAAGTATAATAATTAGGGGTGTGTGTCTCGCCCTGCTAAGACGATACATATCCAAATACATGGGCTACGATAGGATTCAGGGATGTATTTTATAATGGAACAATACAATAAATTAAAATACGCCAGTTCTATAAAAGTGACATTGCTTACCTTCAAATACATGTATTTTATTAAAAAGCAGGGAATGCCAAGTATTTGTTTTCTTTATGGCATGAAAAATGGAAGACAAATGTATTATTTCAGAATTACATGTAATTGTGTTTATTAGTTGCACTGAAAATCCTGTCGGTATTGTTGGACATGTTTGTTTATGTACCAACATCGCGAGCCACGGTTACACTAGCGTTACTCTCATCGCTCTTGTTGTGAGACCCTCACGTTGACCTTTTACCTTTCACAAGAGTGAAGACTCTGTTAGCAGCTTCAGTCAACTGATTGATAACTTTACAATCGGACCATTGACCTGTTCGTGGTACATTTAGATCGATCCAGGGGTCTGTGTACCGATGCAGCTGCAAATATAACATTAAAACCGTTCGACTTGTATCAGTAATCAGTAAATGTATCAGTATAATTAAATCTTCACACCCTTATTATAATGTTTTAAATTAATTAATTTCATTGAAATAATATATTTCAGAGATTCCTCTGTTTACCACTAGAGGTAGTTTGCATACCACCAGCGGTACATGTACCATAGTTTTAGAACCAGTGGTCTGTATGATTTACATCACAGAGTGATGTTCTGTGAAATTAACCTGTTCTTATGTTTGGTTGTTTTGGCGTACAATGTTCTGTAGCACCTATCAGAGGGGAGAATGTCGAACAGGTTGTGTCCAGGGTGTGATGGGTCTGCAGTGATGTTCCCTGCCGGTTTCCTGACTCTGGACATATAAAGATCCTGATTTTTCTCTGCTGTATTGACTGTCTGTTGTAGTCTGTTTCTGTCCAGTTTGGTGGCAGTTCCTAACAGGGATGGATGTGCAGATAAGAGACTGGATTATTGTAGCCCGGTTGTTCTGACCGCACCAGAAGGCCAGCTGTTTAACCTTCCATCTGTATGCAGACTCATCCCTGTCCAGGATGAAGCTGATTATTGCTGTCGTCTGAAAACTTCAGGAGCCTAACAGACCATTCTCCTGAGGTGCAGTTGTTGGTGTAGAGAGAGAAGAACAATGAGGAGAGTAAACATCCCTGCGGAGTGCCAGTTTTTATTGTCTGGGTGCTGGATGTTATTTGCCCCAGCCTCACCTATGAATTTGGTGTGAAGGGTTTCTGGGAACCATTGCAATTGTGGTAGTGGATGACAGTAATATTGGTGTTTCAAAACTGGCAAATGTCCTCTACATCTTTGGATTAGTTGTCATAACTGGTCATGACAAAAACATCTCACACCTGCCAGCAGCCCTTCATTCACTTTCACCACCAGTCCAGTGAACCTTAGTCAGTCACTACTTGTTTAACAGACTTTGCCGATAATGTTAGAAAACCTAACAGGCCTGCTATCAGCAGCACTTTGAGGACAATAGTGTTATTGTTTGATGCTTTGCCATCAAGCGTACATGGCGAGATTAAATTAATAGTAAAACTGATTAGGAGTGAGCATAACGCTGGTCTGACTCTGGTGTTCCTGAGACTACATTTAAACTGTACACATTATTTAATGTGTAATATTCAACTGTGGCTCCTTACATCTTAACAGCTACTCTCTGGAGGTCTGTACTGCTGCACTGCTGGAGCTGTATCTGGGGGATAGCTGGGCGTTCTGGCATGAAACTATCAACACTGACATCTTGATATGTAAAACTATAACCTTCTCACACATTCTTTCAAGATTTTCATCACCCTCTCTAATTGTGTTGCTGTAGACTGTTGTGACCTCGGTTGCACCATCATGTCTAACATCAGCTGTGATGTAAGGCCAGCCACTGAAGAGCAGTAGGCTGTGGAGCAGCCTCGTGTGCTGGGTCTCTGGGTGGGTATTATTACCACAGTGAATGCTTTGCAAAGCGATTTCTTTCCCCAAACGGCAGACATTTTGCTGGATGTTAACCCGCAAAAACAAGCAAGGCTTTAGTAACAAAACCTCCACTGATAAGACTCCAAATGGAATACCTATTTTATGTTTATTTAAATGAGCTATTGGCATCATAGGCGGGAGCTAGGGTGCCACCCAGTTGGGGGTTCTCAAACTATGGTACGTATACCACTGGTGGTACGTGAGCTGCCTCTAGTGGTTAGCGGATAACATATACTAAATCCTACATCATTTCAAATGAAAATATTTAAAGTATGACATTGCTGAAATTGAATTTAAAAGAACTTTGGCATCCTGTAATATTTTGTTTCACTAGCAGCCTGCTACAATTTACGTCATGCATGTTGCGCTCACACGCATCCATGACTGGTTAAAAGCTTAAACATGATGGTAAGATAGCAGTTTTGGGCTAATTACGCAAACATTAATGTATTACTCATTACTCTTTTCAAAAGTAAGAAGCTATAAGTGACATTGAAGTCAGGTGTGATGATAGGGAGTGGAGTGTAGATAGTTCTTGAGACAAAGTGATTTTGTACTTATTATTAATAACAATCTTTTATTTAACATGTTATATATTGATAATTTAAGAAAACTGCTGTTTTTATGAATTAACTACTTATTATTTAATGATAATGTGACAAATTTAAAGGAGCACACAAGTTTTTGATTTCCTGCTCCTGTTCATAACAAATAAATGTGCAGAAATTTTACTGTTGAACTATTTTTTAAATCTAGGGGACCAAATGTGCTATGTCCAGCTCTGATCTTTTATAATGCGTAAAAAAGCTAGTATGTTAAAAAATTCTGGAAATGTTATGTCCATCCACTAGTTGTTGAGATATTTCAGTGCATACCAAAGCGGTGGACGACTGACTGACATTGTCTCTCGATCTGCAGCAGTTGGTGTGGCTATAAACCACATTGAAACAGCCAGTATGACAGCTCAGTATGTCAACGTGTAAGGAGAACAGTGTAACTTATAAAATAGTGTGTGGTGCTTAACATTTTTTGCTTATTTCAGTGTAGTTGATTATTCTGGAGACCTGCAGTCAGTCCAACAGAAGCTGAGGAAAAGACAGATTTAATGCACTTTTAATTGAACCATTATGTGTTGGACCTTTGGGGCAGCCCATGCGAGGCCCTCACATCTATATTAGCATTGCCTATCAATATCACTGCGCCGATTAAGGACATTAAACTCTGTAATTGCGCTAATTGGAGTTATTTGTAAAACAAATAGAATGGAGCTGCCATTGAAACGCCCCAGGAGCATTTTGTGTGAGATGGATTTGATAAAGCGGCTGCTGCTGTGTTTCTACCTTGTTTTCCAGCTCTCTATAAATGATCCAGAAAATGTCCTAATGAAGAGTACAGGTGGGAAAGTCATTATGAATCCTGGGGGTCTCACTACCACTTCACGTAGGGAGAAGTGCTCTATCTGTGGGTGACCTGGAGAGAAAACATTCCTGGCTAATGACCGCTCTCAGAGCAACCAGCATGGCTGACTGAGGCCTAACTAACCCCTGAAGAAATTGATTTCAAACCCCCTTTTCCTCCTCCTCATCCACCTCCTCCTTTCTTGGAGCCTGTGTGTAAATGAGGCAGTCTGTAAATGAAGCAAGTCGCTGGGCATTATTCTATTATACATCGCTGATTATGAAGGCTTAGAGCACAATGAGATAACAGACCTACCTCTGAGTGCTGATGAATGAGCCCCTCAAACAGCTCGGTTATTTAAGGAAACACAAGAGAAAATCTTCTCAGTTAAAGTCAAAATGTAATTACACTTGTTATTTAAAGGCTTTTAGATTGTGTTCCTTTTCTCATATAGACAATGTGAGGTGGCATTTAGGAGGATCTATTTGTCAGAAATGGAATCAAATATTTATAGGTATGTCTTTCATTAGTGTCTAATCACCTGAAAATAAGAATTGTTGTGTTTTTGTTACCTTACAATGAGATGTTTTATATCTACAGAGTGAGCAGGTCCTCCCCTTACAGAGTCCGCCATGTTTCTACAGTAGCCCAGAACGGACAAACCAAACACTCTATCCACTGGTGAGTTCCACGGCCACAGTAGTTTCTCCTGCACTCTAGGAACGCGAGATAATCACAGCACTGCTTCCTTACGTTAAAAGCATGTATTATTGACATCAATGAGGTTCTGACTGTGATACAACATTTATTTAAATCATTTCAGAGCAGTTCTACACATCGTTCACTCTCATGGCATGACCATAGATCTCTTCATACTCCATTTTAACTGGGCAGTGTTCCATTTAAAACATACATTCAACTGTTATCTATGTAAAGGAATACAGCCCCGTTGATGTATCGGTTGGCCGATATTATTGGCCGATATTGACCTCTCTCAGACATATCGGTATCGGTATATGTTATCCAATAAACGGCAATATGAAAACCGATATTTTTCCCCGGTATATAATGCATAAATGAATGCTTATGGTGATATATTGGTGTCACTGCAAAGTTTATATTATATATATAAGCACAGCACAGAGTAAGAGAGAAGAAGCCGCTTCAGAAATGACTAGATTAGAAATATTTAACTGAACTATTCTTTCATAAAGTTATTTGTTCAAGAAAGCAGCATTCTGGGTGCCTTTGCAGAGTCATATAAATGCACAATCCACAAAGAAAATGTCTGTTTTTATTTGGCTGCCATATTGGTAATCGGTGAAGTTTTACCCTCTACAATTAGTCCTGGTCTCATATCCCATATCGGCTGGGCTCTACAAAGGACAAATTAATTTACATAGAATATAGGTTTAAGACACTTCCGGGTTGGCTTCACTTTTCAGACCCGGAAGCTCTACCCATTATATATACTGTCAAATGGTTCAGACAGCATTTTGCATTTGATATCAAACGTCATGACATTTTTTTTTCAAATTAACTAAGTCATGGAAATATGTTACGTCACACTTTCCAACTAAGCTCCGCCCACTACAAACTGGGGAAAAGAGCAGAGAGAAAAAAAAAACACTTTGGCAGGAAGTAGTGTGCTCCTATACGAGCCTACCACTCACTGGAAGAAGCTGATTTAGAAAATGTGCTTTCAGGCCCTTTAAATGAAAACAGGTTTTTGTCAAAAAATATGTTTATGTAACTCGAAGCAAAGTAATGAAAAAAAGACCCAACCCTTACCTAAATCAGAGACAGTTCTAACATAGAGGGAGTGGGGCACTCTGTCAGTCGTCTTTACAATTGGAAAATACAAAGATGGCAGCGCTGACTGAACGCAGATGCATGACTGATGATCACGCAAGTAAAGATGAAGATGTTCCCAGATGTTTCTGTCAGCTCCGTGCTCTGACCTGCAGCCATAATGTGACTGCTTTAAGCTAATACCATGGCAGCCGCACCAGTAACCAGTGGCTGCAGGAAACCACACTTCAGCTTAGTTCTGCTATTTTAAAGTGGGGTTGTATGAGCTACTTATACATAGTCAGTGCATGGCCTGCAGTATACGGTGGTAAGCCTCCACAGTTTGAAGAAGCAGACATGAGTACCAGCACAGAAGCTCAGCTATGTACTGCTGTGGACAGGGACCGCAGGAAAACCTATTTTAGCCCCATAAAAAAAATCTAAATCGTTTTAAAAGTACACTATATTTAGAATATTGTCACTGCTTTACCTTTCTAACAGGAAACTGAAGCCTTATAGTGGCAGGCCAGCAAATCCAGAGTTCTGTTAAATCACTTTTTGTTTTTTTGTTTTTTTCCCCCCAATGGAGTCTGGTGGCTTTAGAGAGACCAAAGATTGATAGAAACACTTCATTTGCCTACTTCCATCATCAGTTCAGGAAAAAAACATTTAATTGAGAATTTTATTGATTCAAACTTTTTAAAACTATTTTTATTGTCTTCTGGACGCAGTCAGATGATGTAGCCTATATGTGAGTATATATGGTGACTTATATGTACATCACATCTACACCAGCAAGCTGCCGACAAGTGCTGCAGATTCTACGGTTACAGAAAAAGGCTGTCTGACAGCGAGGTAAAGCAGTGAAAATATCCTTAATGTATAAAGCATACGCTTAAACTGATAGATTTTCTTTAGGTGGCTAAAGTACATATTTCTGCAGCCCTCGTCCACAGCAGTACATTGCTCTGCTTCTGTGGCGGGGATCCCTGTATGCTGTATGCTCCAAATTTGTTGCGTGTGGACCGCCATTGGTCCATTGTAGGTAACACACTGTAGATAGGAACCTCATGCAAACTAAACTATTCTATTATGCTGTACTCCTACTGTTTTGTGAAGCACTTGATTGAGGATGAAGCATCTGTATCTGAAGAAAAACATTTTTGTGACACCACTGTGCTTTGGAACTAATGCCAACACTCTCTGTGGCTGCAAGGCACTAAGTATCTGAACTTTTTCATTACCCCAGACAGTTCATTTGCCTCTGTAATGATAAGCCTGTTTTGGATGAATTCATTCTAGATCTCATGTGGTTATGCCCACCATGACTTCACTAATGTCCCACAGTTTGCTGGCCACTTCCTGGTCTGTGGCCTTGTCCAGCAGAACCTGAGGCCGACAATCCGCAAAGCACTTGCCCTGCACGCCGTCCACATCTGGGCTGCAGGCCAAAAACACCGATGTCTGAGCTCCTTCCTCAGGGCTCTTGAACAAGCCCCGGGAGAGCAGGTTAAACAGGGGCTTAGCTAACACCGGGACGTGAACATGCCTCCCCAAATTAGTCCTCACTATGCCTGGAGTCAGAGCGTTCACGGTAACGCCGCTGCCCTCCAGCCGACGGGCCAGCTCGCAGGTGAACAGCAGGTTGGCCAGCTTGCTGCGGCTGTAGGCGAAGGCCCTGTCGTAGCTCTGCTCGCTGTTCAGGTCCTCGAAGTTGATGAGACCGCGCTTGTAGAGTTTGGAGGAGACCACCACTATGCGACTGGGAGCTGACCGTTTGAGCAGGTTCAGGAGCAGGTGGGTGAGCAGGAAGTGGCCCAGGTGGTTGACCCCGAACTGCATCTCGAAGCCGTCCTCTGTTTTGGTGTAAGGGCACTGGTAGATGCCGGCGTTGTTGATCAGCACATCTAGCCGAGGCTCCTCCTGTACAGCAGCAGCAGGCGAGATTATGACACACAGCCTTTTTACTTTAACAATATGAGCTATAAAAGACGCTAGCACATAATCCCATTTTTAAGCTGCAGTAGGTAACTTCTATAAAAATAACGTCATTATTGCTGAATCTTTCACTATATCCTGACAGTAGAACATGAGACAGATAATGTTTTTCGATTCTTAAAAATACAATGAGGAGCGCTGCAACGAGCCAGAGGAACCTGATTATTTCACAGATTATCTGTCTCATGTTAAATTATCCATAGGGTGGATAGAGAATTCAGAAACCTGTCAAACAATGTTGACAATGACAGGTAGCCTACTGTTAGTCCTATAAGAGCACCATTCATAAATCTGCCTCAATGAAATTAACATCATAAACCTTGATTTATTTGTGAAGGAGGACGTGCTTTAAATGTACTGTTGTAAATGGATGTGTGTTCTTCAATTCGGCATTCATAAAATCCACTGAGCAGCACCTATTTTACTCAAACCTGATACAACTACTTGACATTAGCTTTCCATCTCACGTTTACTTGATAAACAGGAACGGAAGGCTTATAAAGTTGAAATTTTACTTAAATGTGTGAAATTTGTGGAGCCGAATGTGAGCCAAATCCCTTTTCCCCAAGCATACAATAAGCAGGTGAATTTCGCGTGGTACTTTCTAGAATAATCGGTCACATTTATAAAAATGCACATTTTCTGAATGACGTTTGGCTAGCCGTTCTTTTTGTGCAGGCACTTATTAGCGACGCCTGCAAAGCAAACTTGGCTGTGGAACAGAAAGCCCCCTGCAGCAGCTACCTTCATTATGTCTCGACAGAAAGTGTGTACGGATGCGAGCGAGGCGAGGTCCAGCTGTTTGACGACCAGCTGTGTACTGTCGGCTCCAGTCTCCTGTCGGATCTCCCGAGCCGCCTCCTCAGCCCTGCTCATGTCCCGGCAGGCCATTATCACACGGCCCTGGAGCCTCACGATGCCCGCTGCTGTGGCTCTCCCTATCCCGCTGTTAGCGCCGGTCACTATCACCGTCTTTCCATTCATCATTGTGCCGGGTTAGACACCTACTGAGCGGCTGCTCACAGTTCTGAGCCCCAGAAGCTAGCTAACTAGCTTCATGACTGTGCAACGCAGGAATACTTCATTACCCAGAATTCACAACGGGCGGCAGTTTCCTGTGTGGACACTCGTAAAAGTGGCTTTTCAACCATTCAACTTGGTCATTAGTGGAAACAACGCATTTGTACAAGTATTTTATTATCGCTTGTCCTGCCATTGTACAATGTAGACCTTATAATGGAAGGTATATGCATTTAGTCAGCTGTTCTCTTCTTTTATAAAAAAAATAAACATTTATTCATTACATAACTTTCCAATTATTAGGAAAGTATGCACCCATAAATTACTTAAACTTACCAACATGAATGACACCGAAAATTCTGTTGGAGAAAAAAAATATTGATTTGTTTCAAAAGTAGTCAAATTTGAATATAATATAGAATCAATTTTAACCGAAGAAACTCCAGGTTGCCTATTCATTTTTTGATTCAACCTTTATTTAGCCATCAAAAGTAATATAGAGCAAAGTGTTGCAACTCAAAACAGCACAAAAGCCAACCATCAACTGTAATATAATAAATAACAACAGAAGAACACATTCAGTTACCGGCTCTGTACAGTAGATGGTGGTTGGCACAGAAGCTATGTAATGCATTACCGTGGACAGGGGGGCCGCAGAAAAACGTATTTAGCCACTTAAAAAGATCAACATCAGTTTAAGTGCCCCCTATATTTAGAATATTTTCACCATTTTACCTTGCCGTCAGACAGCCCTTTCTAACTGCAGCCCTATAGTGGGAGACCTTGTGTTTGTGAGGTAAAATGAGTTTTTTGTCAAAAGAGTCTGATGGATTTGGAGAGAGCTTAGGTCTATATAAATGCTTTCAGCCTGTAAAGGGCTGTCTGCCGGCAAGACAAAAACTTCACAATTTGTTTTTTGTAGGCTTTTAAAAGATAACTGACTGTTTTCTAGTTTTTGTCCTAAAGGGATAATCTATTAGAATCAGAAATACTTTATTGGAAAATCTGTTTCATTACAGTTGCTCATTAATTATTCATTATAATAATGATGTATTATATTACAATATCTAACAACAATATACATAGAAAATAGAAGTATATGTATGCTACAGTATATGACAGACAGAAGTGAATAAATAGTAATAATGAGTACTGATAATGTCAATGTTGAGAGCTGAATCCTTCAAACATTGCATTAGTGACAGAATGAACCAGAGAACTGCACATTAACCAGTGAAAGTGTGAAATGTGAACAATGCCCCGCAACTTTAGTGTGGAACAATGGTTGTAGAGTGTGGGACAGTGGAAAGTAGACCTCGGGACAGAACCTGCCCTGCTTTACCCTATGAGCCCACTGTGGACCCTGAAAGAACTGAATTACTGCAGACTAACATTAGTCTGGCAACAATTAGGACTGTATAACATTTTTACATTCTATACATGGCTCAGACCGCAGAGAAAATAAAGGGCTCATTACGATCAGTTGGAATATCAGCCATTATCATACCATCTACTCTGTACACACATTCTTACCCATTTAAAGGCAGATAGAAAATGCAGATACCATTTTCAGGAAAGTACTGATCATCTGTGTGATGGACTGCTGAGGACGGAGAGACCACTGCAGGACCCAGAGGTGGCGATGTCGGTCCACTGATCCATCCTCTGTCTTCTCTGTCCAACACTTTGAAGCAGAGGTATGTGTCTTAACACAGATGTAGTCTAGATATTCACACACGGTCCACACAGCTCAAAGGTTTTCCAGGATAAACATTTGAGTTTATAATAAAGATTTTGGATAATATGAAGTTTACAAGTTTACAGAGTAGATTCCTCTTTCAGTTGGAAAGTTCCTGTTGTGCCACCCTCATTTACCTTCACACAACATATCTCATTATCTAATACGACGGCTCACTGAATTTTCTCTAAAGTAGAACATTTCCTCAAGAAAAGAAAGTTGGGAAAACCTTTTTTCAATTATTTAAAAACTCAAAAGTTAAGTTTGACTGACAGCTTAAACATCTCAACTGTTTTGTTGTTTTACAGTGTAGTTCGGTTTATTTCTGAACTTTGGACGGAGCAGGGCTAGCTGTTTGCCCCTGCTTCTGGTTTCTATGCTAAGCTAGTCTAACCACATCCTGACTCCATCTCCATCTTAACACACAGACATGAGATTGATATGCATCTTCTATTTTCACCCTTAGGTGTCCTGTATGAGGGGCGAATGGACACTACCCAGACATGGTATAAGTGACCTTTCTATCAGAGTTAAATACTGTACGCAGGAATGTTTGGCTTTTAAGGATAATTTATAATCTGATCATGCATTTTGCGCTGTCTGTAATGTTGTTATTTTGTAACTTGTAATTCTTTTTATCAGTGAGGCTTAAGGGTTAAAAATCTCTTCATCAACACACAATAACTTTACAGTTTAGACTGCTTCAACAGCATCCAGAAGAGTGATTTGCTGACACTAAACATACTAGAAGCAGCTGTATATTAAATGTTACATATCGTTATTATGCAGACATTAGTGTCGCACTGCAGAAATATACACACAAAATATCAGAGTCTCTACACTTCAACATGCTACTGAAAAACCTCATCATCTGCAGTCTCAGATTTCCTAAATAAATCAATTAAATCCTTCAGAGGCCCTGGTGGCTTGTAACCAAAAGAAACAACAGCAAGTCAAGCTCCTCAGCTTCCAGCGATGGTACTGAGGCTGGGCCTGTTATGGTTGGTTTCACAGTTGGGGCTCTACCAGCAGCAATAATGTGTTAATAACATCTGTAACATCTGGAAAACATCGGAGTTAAAGCTGAGCTTGTAACGAACAAATAATGGCGGGTCCGGCCTGCTCCTCCGCTTCAGCTCTGCGCCGGCTGAGAGTGAAGCTTCCCATCACACCAGTAGCTGCTGCAGGGCTGCCTACAGAGACAAATAAAACCTGCTATACCCTTATACAAACTATCACAGGAAGATGAACACATTCATGGCTGCACAGTGGAACGCATGGGGAGCAGAATGAAAACCGTCCAAAGCAGCGCTTTCAAGGAGCAGTCCAACTGTTTGAAAATTTTCATCAAACCCACAGTTTGCTGAAAACATCAATACTACCCTTAAAAAGAATAAAATCGCTTTAATCACACATGCTTGATGACAACTGAGTTTTGTATTGTACATGCATTTCTACATTATAATGAACAGGACAAAACTGCAAGATATTACCTTTCATTTAATGCCGAATTACATTTTAATGAGTAATGCAAATACAATGACAGCTAACAACAGACTTACAATTACTCGTTACTGCAATTTTATAGTTTTGCTCATCATTTCTGTCAGTGATAATAACTTTGTACTCACCAAGTTAATAGCTGAGTTTTGGGGTCATGGTGATTACTGTGTACAATTAAGACAACTTCAGTATTATTATTAATAATAAAAATGATTAATGTAACATCAAATTCATATCTGCATGAAAACTGACAGACATGGTATCAGGAGGCAAATATGTTTGATTTATAGACGATGTACAAATGTGTAGTGACATTTGTTTATGTCTACCCCATCTGCCTCTTATTTCAGCGTGCTAGTGGAAATATTGAATTGATTTTGGTGCTAGAGCAAAGGTCATGGGGTCACCAGAATCATACTGCTGGTCCAGACACGTCCTGGCAGTGATCCTACTCATTGCGCGGCTCGTGAGCCTCAGGCGGCTCGCCAGGCTTTAATCACCGGCTCGCATGGCCGCAAATAATTATATGATAATGCAGCCGATACACATCATTTTCTAAAATATTCAAAACAGCTACACTTTTCATACTGAGCACCAAAATGGTAAAACTGCTGTTGCACGGGTAAATAAAGTGTGGGCTGGTGTAGGATCATTCAAAAAAAGTTCTATACTGTACTACACCATAATCATGCAAACGTTGTCAGGAGGATGTCATCAATTCAGCAACAAGTTATTAGTTTGGCTATCGCAGGGTCTCATGCTAGCTAACATATTGTGCACAAACACAAAAAATCTAATTTAAAAAAGTCCAATGCTCAATCTCCTTTTAGCTCCGTTTTGAATAATATCTGACTCTTTAGCTGCTGATTGATCCACCATGTTCATCAGATTAGTCTCTAACTCTGTCTGTCTGCTGTTTGCTGCTGAGAAGGTAGTGTACAACGGCTTTATGTTGTCGTGTCTGTGATGCGGTTTGGCTCTGTCATCCGTGCATCTTCAAATCCACAGACAGCATTTCAGATGCAAAGTGTTTTACCTAGTATAAAAATCTGAGGTGACCCCCGGCTCCTTCTGCTACGTGTCGCAGTATCCTTGAGCAAAGATACTGAACGCCCCACATTAAGCTCCTGACCTGCTGTGCATCAGTTGTGTGGAATGTGTCGCATGGAATGAACCGTGACAGTTATTCTGTTCGACCTTGCGCCCCCTTTGCCATGCACATGAGTGAATGTTGTGTTGAAAGGTGAAAATGTGGGCAGTCATGTCAAACAAGCGCTTTGAGTGGTCTCGCAAGACTAAAAAAAAGCCGCTCATACCCAAGTACAGCGGTCCATGCTTACCATTCTACCATACAAGACCCACAGTGCTGTTTGCTCGCACTTTCAGCTGAACTTCTCATCGTCAGTGTCGGTCAATATCATCCCTGACTGACCTGCAGCCGGGGGTACGTGTCTTGAATTTTCGAAATTTTGTTATCTAGTACCTTGCAGTTATCTAATACAGCCCGCTTTCTGTGTCTGCTCGTCAATGTGTCTTGGCTGAACTGCACCTTCCTGTCCGAGTGCAAACTGGCCCCTTTGGTGTGCTCCAGATCGCAGAGGTGAGCCCGTGGCGACTCTCAGTGCGTCAAAAAAAGACACAGACCCAGTACGCATTTGCTCCATGGAGCTTGAACGGAGGGACCCCTTCGGGAGCCCCAGCACAACGGTTGCGGCATCAACGCCGCAAAACGGCCCGTACTCTTTAGAGGTCGCAGGTCGCAAACGTTCCCTTCTGTAACTACGAGCCGTCTCCAAGATTACGACTTAAACCGTCGATCGGTCTGCTGACAGTAGGTCGTACGACGTCGGGGAGCGCGACAGAATCATGGCG